GCCACAGAATGAACTCAGCGATTGCAGGTCTGCAGGCAGGCATCTTTTGTATAGCTCGGATATTTTCTGGGTCAGGGGAACGACCGTGTTTCGCGAAAATGAAATCGAGGAACTTGCTGGTTAGTGCAAAATATACGGACATATATCCTCACGGATTTGAAAACCATATGATTGGATGCGTCCATGCATTTCAGTGGGCCGCTCTAATATTTTCCTGTCGTCCAGCTCATTAAAATGTTGTCATTCAGGTGTGCAGCGGCTCCAGAAACTCCAACGAGAATGGTGTCCATCAGGCGCTGGAAGATGGCTGGTGTTGTTTTCACTCTAAAAAGGAGGTGGTTTTGTTGACACAAGCCGCGATGAGTGTTGATGGTCAGCAATCCTCTCAAGCCTTCATCAACATTGACCTGGAGGTAAGCCACGGACAATTCGAACTTGGCGAAGCACCTCCTACCATGCAGTTTGGCAAAGAAATCCTATGGTGTCGGAAGTTGTACCGATGGTTATCAAGTGCGGTGTTTAGACCAGCTGACAAATCAGCGCAGACACGTAATTTACTTTTCGCCTTTCACACAGCAAATTGCAACGCAGCCCATGAAGAATATTTCACTAGGGTGATAACACCGGTGAGCTCCAGTAGGTCAAGCTCCTGCTTAGCCGCTGCCATGGATGCATATGGTATCAGTCTTTTTGCCCCGAACAGTGGGTTGGTTCCCTCGCGAAGTCACAACATTGCTTTGAGCTCGGTGCAGTGACCGAGGCCATCTACAAATAAGGAGGCAAAGTTTTGTTTCAGCATTCTCGTCATATCTTCAATCGGTACTGATATTTTGGTTGAACTTGGATTGCAAATTTGACTCATTGGAGCGGAAAACACTTGTGCCTTTTCCGTCAAGTCAATCGCAAGGAGGTTCAAATTTGGTCGATTCGACAAGTAAGAGGTTCCAATCTCTTTCCCTCCATTGAAAGCAGGTATGCAGGTTATTTCTCCGACCAGCTTCGGCTTTCTACCGGATGCGTTGTAGCCGATTTTGTTGTATTGAACTCTCTTCGACCTCTATATGATTCCAAGTGTTGGGACCCCGTTGATGAGCACAGCAATGATCTGGCATCGTGGTCTAAAATCACTGTGAAAAGTGGCAATAACCGGTAAAGATGCCGCATCAGGCTTCCGGAGATTCTTCCTTCGTTATGTCTGCTTCACTTTTCTTGACTGGGACTGATGGCAAAAATCTTCCTTATGGCCGCGATTACGGCATTTAATAAAGTGTGACTCTTGAATGGGCAGTAACGTGAAAAAATACCATTCACCACATTACCAACAAGGTGTAGGCGGCTTGTTTGGTGTTCTGTTTTGCACGGCTTGTTTGAGCTAACCTTTCTTGCCTCTTGCACAGCACGAACAGTATCGGCAATGGTGAGGCGACACTGCTCAGCCACAGCGATGTCGTGTTTCCACCTGATGAACTGCTTGCATTCGCCTAAGAGAGACTACAATGTCAACTCGGGATCTTGATCCAACTGAAAATAGTGTCGAATGCGGATTTCAGCGTCGCATGGAGACGGTAAAGCACGGAATAATAGGAGAGACTTAAACTGGTCATCCCTCAGAGAAGGTAGCTTGAAAAGTTCACACTCATGGTTAACCATATCCATTAGTGTCACATACACGTTCGTATCACGCTTAACAGGTTTTAAACATGGAGGACGAATGCTAAACAAAGATGCTGACTCATCAAAAATCTCTTTGAGTAATACCGATGCTTCGCTGAAGATGATGACCTTCGGCTCATTGCGCAGATGTGGTCGACGAATTTTGTAGGTTAAGCTTACGGAGCATAACATGTATTTGCCATGAATCATAATGACGGCTGCAATCCATCCAAAACATGTTTTCCCAGCTTTTGAAATACACCTCGAACGTGGGTTCAGAATCAGCATCATAATGAAGGCCAGTGATGGAATTTTGTAACGACATGCGTGTCCCGCACAGCTGTTCCGGTTGATTGCGCATTCGAACACTGCGTCATATTTTTAATCAGTTTTAGCTGTGCTTCCATCTGGGATTGTTGCTGAAGAAGCACCTTTTGAAACTGATCAGCAGAACGATTAACATTTTCATTTTCGTCGCTATTGTTAGTTTTTCGAAATTTCCTCCCTATTCCTATTTAAACACCAAGCCGAAGAATAATCGAAGGTCCAACGGCCTTGGCCAAGAGTAACATGTTGCTCAGACGCTGCCAAGATGCTGTACACCCGTCGCAGATCTTTGTCAAGCCTATAGGTCACTTGATGGCCTTCAACTTCTGGAAAACGGATGTCAACTGGTAAACTCAGTAGCTTCATTGCCAGCGCTCCATACACTGGCGGTCGCATGAAGGAATGCTAAGTTCCAGCCAGAATCATCGAAATCAATGCGCCATCAAAGCTGCTCGATTATTTGCTGATACCTTGAGTTTTCTTGATGTATTTACCTTCTCTTGGATAACAACCGATAGAC